TTCATCATGATCCTATACACGTATAACCACGAGTTTATGTAAATATTAAATAACCTAGTTTATGTAAATTATTAACTGCACTAGCAAGCAATTAATGTGTGCACTATTGACTTAACAGTAATTGATTTTATCGATCCGTTATGTTATGCGCACAGACTGTACATTAGATAAACGCTAAACAATCAGGAATAACAATAATTGACATATATTTTAGTTATGGTATTAATATATTTTATAGCTAGATTAAATTAATAGATAATTTAGTAACCCTAGTGATTGGCCAGGGATGAGAATGACAGGTGTCACTTTTCAGTTACAGTTTTTAATTACAAATTATTTTTAAAATGTGAGTTTTATATCCATAAACTATATTAAATATTTACCATGACTTATAATCATTACTTCAAAAGTATTAATGTAATTATTTTTTAATAAGTTCTCTAATAACTTAAGCATTATTTAAATTTATGTTTTATTTAAACGCATACACTATTTATTGATTTTTTCCCGTATATATAATGTGTTTTTATAAGATATAGTTATGTAAAAACTTAGTTAAATTACCATTTTAATTATTAATCAATAATCACTATATAGAGTATTTATGTCAAAAATATCATTAATACAAACACATTAATTGCTTGCTAGTGCAGTTAATAATTTACATAAACTAGGTTATTTAATATTTACATAAACTCGTGGTTATACGTGTATAGGATCATGATGAATCAACAAGCAATTAAACAATAATTTCTATTTTGCAACGAACCGCTCAATTAAAAATTTACATTTAACTAGATTATCAAAAAAATATAATTAAAACATATAGTTTAATTTATTTAGCACGTTTTACTAATGAACTATTATTTGTACCCTGATTCAAAAACAGTTTCATTCCGGCCTATCGTATATGTCTGGTCCAGATCTACGGCTACAAGCAGTTGCTGAAAGAGGTGCAGACACTGCGGGCCATGACATACGACAAGGAAAACACGGCCCACAAGAAAATGCTGCAAAATCTATGGAACCAACTGATGGACGAGCCGTTGACCGCAATGCAGACCAAGCAGTGGTCAGACATCGGCTTTCAAGGCGACGATCCGAGCACTGACTTCAGAGGAATGGGTCTCTTAGGGCTCGACAATCTCCTATTCTTCACCACTGTTTACAGAGAGCCCGCCAGACATATACTGCAGCACTCGCTCCACCCACAGCACGGGTACGTGACCTAACCTAACCCCCTGACCCCACCCCTAACCACCCATTTTTAATTAGTTGTAAAACATGTAACAGTTTTTATTGGTTTAATGTTTATTTGTTTTTTATGTGTAATTTATTGTGTTTTATTTTTGCGTGATTTTAGTTTTATCTTGTTCATTGTTGTTTGATATTAATGATGATTAAATTACTTGTAAATCCAGGTTCCCGTTCGCCATCGTTGGCATCAATTTAACGCATTTAGCGCTCACTCTCTTAAGTGATGGCCATTTGAAGACACATTTCTACAACCTATACAATCGTATCTTTAAATTAGAAGATTTCCATAAAGTTTACTGTAATTTTTAATTGCAATTAATTTTATAAATTATTTATTTATTTAAAATTTATTCTGATTTTTTTTTGTGTATCAATAGGTTATCTGTTTGTGGCCTTCGATAAGCTATGGCTGGAAAGTAGACCGCAATCTGTGATGGAATTCAGTTTAATTCGCGATAAGTTTGAGAAACAACTCATCGAAAAACTGGCCGACAATAAGACTGTCCTTAAATGGGATCCACATATCGACACACTTTGAATGCCATTTGTTTTTATGTACACTTAATCTCTCCGTTTAATGAACACTCCATTTGTGATACACTACTTGTGTTTGTTTTTTATCAATTAAAACTCATCACTTATTTTAGTGTTTCATCACTTGTAGTGTTTTTGAACTGAATTTATTTTTTATGAGATTTTCCACAGTAAATAATAACATGGATTTCTATTATTATCAATGTTATATTGCTATTTTTTTGCTCTCATTTTTAATGTAATTCATTTAATTTATTATTTGTTTAATTTGTAATTTAATTGTTATTTTGTATTTATTTCTCAATAAATATTGACTTTTTATAATGTAATTTGTATATGTGCTCTCTCTCTCTCTCTCTCTCTCTCTCTCTCTCTCTCTCTCTCTCTCTCTCTCTCTCTACTTCTGAATTTAATGTTTGTATGNTCTCTCTCTCTCTCTCTCTCTCTCTCTCTCTCTCTACTTCTGAATTTAATGTTTGTATGTATTATTGGTTTGTTTGAAATGAAGGTTAAGTCAGGCCTCAGGTGTTCACCAAAATCACTATTTGTTTCTCTTATAAAACCAAACAAAGCAAACAATAATAATTGTAATAAAAATAAATGATTGCCCAGTTTCAGTTTATGGATTGAATTACTTCAACTTTTAAAATTGACATATTATTTTGTAAAATGTGTTCACAATTAAGCAGTGTTTTGTTGATTGAAATGAAGAGTAAATTAAATGCTATGAAGAGTTTGTGTGAAATAATAGACAAAATGGCATTCAAAGTGTGTCGATATGTGGATCCCATTTAAGGACAGTCTTATTGTCGGCCAGTTTTTCGATGAGTTGTTTCTCAAACTTAGAATGCGAAAATAATGATTATTTTTCAATCAATCAAACAATTGATTGCAATTCATGTAAAATCAGTGATAAAATGCTAAACAATTGTCATATTATTACTAAATCTGATGATTATTTTCACTGTTTTTGGCCTAAATGTCAATACATGACAATAAAGAATAGGCATTTAACTGAACATCTATTAATTCATTCAGGATTAAAGGAATTTAAATGTGATTTTAATACTTGTAATAAAGTTTTTATGTATAAATCGACTTTACGTCAACACAAAAAGAGTATTCATTTAAATGTGAGATTTAATTGTGATTTCAATGACTGCCACAAAAGTTTTGCAAGCAATACAAATTTAATTCAACACAAAATTTGTGTTCATTTGAATGAAAGAAAATTCAAATGTAATGAAGAAAACTGTGGCAAAAGATTCAACACTACAAGAGAATTAATTGTACACAAATTAATACATTCGAGTGAAAAGCTATTTGATTGTGAATTCAAAAATTGTAACAAAAGTTTCAAACAAAGAGGTAATCTATGGAAACATAAACAGAGATATCATCTAAATATCCGGAAATTCAAATGCACTTCAAGTGATTGCGAGAAAACATTTGGATATAAATATGATTTAATAAATCATACAAAACGTATTCATTTAAATGATAAATCATTCAAATGTAATGAATATAATTGTCACAAATCATATGCAGTTAAAGGCGGGTTAGCTCAACATTTAAAGAGGTCTCATAAAATCAAATGATATTTAACTCTAATTATAATTTACTTTTCTGTTTTTATTTTACCATTTGTAATTAGTGAAAATATTTTTGTCTAAATAATTGTATTTATTGCCTTTAAAATATAATAAATTACATTATTATAAATTATTTGCAATTAAAAATCTAGATATACTGGTTTATAAGGCATTACAATAATTTAGATAATTAATAAACCCTATTATTTGTGATTTTAATAACTGTAACAAAAGTTTTAAACAATCTATTGAATTATATGTACACAAAAGAAGGTGTCATTTAATTATTTGAAAACATAAATGCAAATCAAGTGATTGTGTAAAAAGTTTTTCCATTAGATCTGAATTAACACAACATATAAATAATAAACATTTAAATTTAAGGCCATTTAAATGTAATGAAAATAATTGTGACAAAACATTTCAAACTAAACAGGGTTTTAATTATCGTTTAAAATTTAAGCATAAAATGTGATTTTTGATAACTTGTTAATTTAAATAAAATATTTTGTCTCATAATTATTATTACAAACATTGTGGAGCCAAATAAAATTTACATTTATATATTAATATTTTTAACAGAATTTTAAAAATAAAACAATATTTGTAACTTTGTTTTTTAAAAATTGTAATTGCTAAATAATTTATTAATTAAGTATCGTATGCTATACTCAATTATGATTTATTTCTTGGATTAAAATATTCAATGTATTTCAAACAAATTAATTAATGATAATAAATTCAAATAATAGTTTGAATAAGAATAACGGTATAATTCAATACGAATGCGAATATCTGTAAATAAAAAATAAAAATAAATTTATTTTTAAAATATAAATAAAATACAACCGAAACGAGTGTTTGTTTATTAAATACAGCGAAACCTCCGACAGTGAATCCAAACGAACGCGTGTTTTGCAAAACAGTTGCAAACGTAAGCCATTGTCTGTACTCTCCGTCAGACATATGACGAGTCGACACTCCGTTCAACGCAACCCTCAATTCCGTAACCTTTGTGTCCAATTGACCACAAATTAGACACGAAATGATGAGTTGGAGAGTTATTGAAATCAATGATATAGGAATAGACACATTATAAGTGGCAAGATTTGAATTATTTATCGATTTAATAAACACATATATGTTTAGCATAATTGACCAAATCGTATGAATCGTAATCAATAACGAGAAATGCTTAAGGCGTGAATCCAAGTTATTAATTAGTTGCTTTATTTCAACCACTAATATCCTACCAGTCGTTAATTCATCGATAATATTGTGCTTATTGCAATTTAGTTTCCAAACTAATTATGTTCAATTAAATTGAAATAATTGTTAGGTTTCTATTTACTTATAGAATTAATAATTAGTAAACAAATAGATTTTGTAAGTAAAGTCGAGTGCCGTTAGTACATAAACTGTGTATATAAACTTTACATGTTAAATTTTCAAACGGTAGTGTTAATAAATAGGATAAATAAATTTAATGGGAAGTTGACAATAATCAACTTTATTTAACACTTTTTTTTATCTAGTATATGATTTAAATTAATGGGATAGTGGATTGTGATACTAATGGGAGTATATAAAGGCGTTACTAATGGCACTTGACTTTAGTCTTATTTACCGATATCTTCTAATAGGTTTACGCATAAAAAGGTGACAATCCATGTGATAACCGGTACGGACCAGAAATAAAATAAACAAAATTGCTCCAAAGTAACAAAAATATATTCAAATAACCCAAATAGATATTTATCACGACCAAATGAGATAGGTGCCACAAATATGATGATAATGCCGTGCAATAACCAAAGAACTGTAACGATTATTATCTTCACATTAATTTTAAATTTAGAATTTTTAACAGCAAAATCAAAGATCAAGCTAGATATATTAAATCCATGGTAATTCAATAAAAACATAATTATTGATTGGAGCAAAATATACATAATATCCCAAATACAAATTAATACTGTCATTACGCGTGATCCATATATGGCGACATCATCATCAAATTCGTATAGTGTTATTGTTAATAATGCACCAAGATCAATGGTAAGCATTACAATGAAATATAAATATCCATAGTATTTCACCATGGTACTTTGGTGTAGTCTAAATTTATTGTGGTTTTTATTGAGTGTTATGCCACCAAACGTTAATCCAAATGCACGCATAATCCATATTAATACTTTCAATAAATCAACATGGTGTTTTACTAACCATCGATTTATTATGTTCATTTTATACCAATAGGTATGCACAGGTAGTGTAGCCAAATGTGCTGAAACTTGCATTGCAAAGTTAATAATTATTGAATCACACACTGCTCAAAATTTTTAATGAAATGGCCTGAATTATCTGAAGGCTGATATTGTTTAATTAATACTTTCGGCGATTCCCTGAGCTATATTGAACTATATCTATGTGAGAAGTTTAATGATTAAATTCTTGATATTGCATATACTAATAAAATGAATATATCATTTTTACGATATTAAATTGATTAAATCCCATTTAAATCCCATTTAAAAAGTATACTTTTGTAAATGCCATTATTTTATATATACTTTTGTATTTTTATTGTAAACAAAACCATTAATTGTATTTTTTGTAAAATAATAATTTTTATTATGTATTTTTAATAGGAATTACCAGAATTAATATAATAAAAAAATTGAAAACAAAGCAAATAACATAATTTATTAATTTATACCAGGAAGGTCCAATGACATGTTTTAGGTCAACGTAGATGTTGTACAATCATTATATTCTAATATATGAATGTATTAGGGAATATCATGTCGTACATAAATAATAATACTGATTTGCCCGAATATTTGCCCGAGTGGGCTTTACTGATTTATACATATTTTAATAATAATAATTTATATAATGATTTAAACTATATTTATGTTTTATTATAATATTTATGTACTAGTTGCAAAGTATATTTTGAAATTATCTATTGTATATTTTCTAGTAAGCAAGATGATTAATATATTGACTGTCAAATTATTTGTTAATATTATATCATGGAAAATTTTATAATAAGAAAATAAGCACAATTAAAAACTTATATAAATTAAATGGTTTATTTTAATAATAGTATTTGTACAAAATTATATTAGCAAATAATTCTTATATTGATGCAAAAATGAATAAGTGTTAATTTATTATTGACATGCAATTACATATACTTTATAGAGCACCGGGTTGTTTGATTGACGTTAAAACTATATGAGAAAGTTTGGTTGAACTTATTTTTGGTTTATTTATTATATAATATAAGTCACATATAATTTATTAATGAACTTAATAGAAGTAATTGCTGTGAATTGCAGTAACGTTGAAAAGTTTTAACTTTTTAAAATTAACATAATAAAACCAAAATAACAAAACACACAAAATTGAGATAAATATTTTTATTTTAACAAAAGAAATGTAAAATTACTAAATTTTTAGCAATTAACTATATAACAAATACAATATTATTTATTTGAAAAATTTACATA